GAATAAATTCCAACTTTATCTTAATCATTGAAACCCCATTTTGATAAATATTTGTTCACAGACAGCTTCAAGTTTAGGCTTATCAAAGGTATCTATTAATATAAATCAGAAAATAAAACCACAATAAGACTATGCCTGTGCCTCAGGAAAGCCCCTGAGGTGATATACTTTGTTCTTAAAGTTTTTAATTTTTCTCTAGATGTTTATTTATATATACTAAGCAAAAAAGCTATCACTGTAGTATCTCAATGTTGACAGCTTTTGCATAATTATAAGTACAGTAAAAGTTGGACAGATATTTTTGCAATAGTATTCTAAAAACAAAGTCACAAACCAAAATATTTTTCATTTTGTGACTCCTCAAACTTTTGCTCAGTTCCCATAATTCTAAAGAACAAACACTATCATCTCTTCCACAGCATTAATAAAAACGACAACAAGGAATATATTTACACTAGTGAGGGTCAACTGTACGCTGACTCTGCAAACTGTAACTGGTCCAATTTATGAAGTACTTCAACTAGCAACAGACAAAATGATTCTAAAAGAGAGAAAAAAATCACTCTCTCACTCCACCACATTTAATATACACCTAATCCAAGGTTCAGCAAAAGAAACGGAGAGAAAACTGTAGTGAATTTGTTTGCCCTGAACAGCCTTTCTCAAAAGGCCCTTCAAAGCAATCCTAATAGGTGTCGCCATGCTACACAGCTCCACAACGCAGCATGATTGACTGTCACACATTCAATTGTGAAGATAACAGTGAGGCAAAAATCTGCAATTTTTTAAATGGAACAAAAATGGTACTTGTATAAAAGGAAAAGTGTGTTAGGGGAGATAATTTTGTATTTCCCACATATTAAGGTTAAGTGATTTTGTTGTGTGATAGACACACCAAGCACTCCATTCCCAAAAGGCAAACCCAGAGGAGGTTGCTTCCATTCTCATCAGCTCAGGGAATGAATGTGTGCTGGGTTTGGATGAAGGTTTTTAAGTTACGAAAAAAAAGTTCTTATTTGTATAGCTGAGAGAAATACAGCTCAGCTGTTGGTATCATTGAAAACAGTCAGAATTAGTCTGTGCCAATAAATCTTCATGGAAAGAAGCAAAATGTAAGAAACTTGCAGAGAGCTAAGACACATAAAGAGAAACAATCCTACTGAGGACAGCCACGAGTCACATAATAAAGCTACATTCTGAAAGCTCTGCTATAGATGATTTGTGTCACGCTGGGAACATCTGTCAGTGCACTTCCACAAACCTAGACGGTGCAGACCACTCATGTGGCACTTGATACAGTCAAGAAATGCAAGAAACAGCCAGGCGGGGGGGGCGCATACCTGTACTCCCAGCACTCAGGACACTGAGGCAGGAGGATCCTCGCAAGTTTGAGGCCACCCTGGACTACACAGTCAGTTTAAAGCCAGCCTAAACTACATAGGAAGACTCTGTCACCAAAAGTAATAGTAATAACCAAATGAAAGCAACAAGACAAATGGTAACAGCACTGCTGCCACTGCAACATGGGAGACTGTTCTATAGAAAGCTTTTATAATGCAAGAAATATATTCTAAATAATGATAAAATATAGCATAATAAATACCTAACCAGCAACACGGTGGTTTATGCTAATCGTTGTTGAGTATTATGTACTGTACACTATAATTTCCCAGGACTAGCAGTACAGTAGCTTTGTTTCCATAAGTATTACTGTAGCCACATGGGTGATGTGCTGTGCTAGGATGTCAGGCCGGCCAGCGCAGTATAGGTGACAGGAGTTTTTCAGCTCCATTAGCATCTTATGGAACCAGCACCATATACGTGGTCTATTGTGGATGGAAATGTCATTACACCATGCATAAATGTAGTCCACAGCTAGGGATGGCCAGTAAATATTAGGCCAAAGCAGAAATAGGGCACAGCAAGAAATAAAAATAGATACTGCTAGGCAGCAACTTTTGAAAGGCTTTAAATCCATCTTCGAAAGTTCTTCATCGATCAAGTGACAACCAGGGCTCCACGAGTGACAGGAAGATGTCTAGACAGTGCTAAAGAGATGCGCTCTCTTGCCTTGGCTTTTATTTTCAGTTGTAAGTAAAGAAGTTTATACACCTGGTCCATGATAATAAATACAGAAATAAAAATGCAAAATCTCAGAATTAGTGAAGAAATTCTAAAGCCCATCTGCATCTGAAAATAACTGAAGTCATGAAAATAAGGCTGGCTTCCCCAGAAAGTCAGTTTTGAGAAAAGAAACCGATAGAGCTGAGGACCTAAAGGAGACTCTGGGAACAGAGTTAATGGGTTTGGAAAAGAAAACAGAGGAAGGAATCAAAGAGGATGAGGGAGAACAGGTCAGCCCTCAATCCCAGAAAAGAAATGCAACAAGAGGTGTCCAAGTAGCAAAGGGGTCAATAACAGGGGCACAGGAAAGGGGTTCCTGTAGCCACAGAGAGCAGACTGCAGGGAATTCTGGGTGAGAGTCGGCAGGGGGGGAAGAGAAAACAGAGCATAAAATGTGAGTAGACAGAGTAACAGAAAAAAGAAACCAGGAGAACATTTGAACAGTCAGTGAAATATAAATAAATCAGAAGACAGTATTTTTGTACGTACAATGATGCTAAATTTGGGCTTTTAAAATATATCAGTTTTTTCCACCTGGCAGTAATAACAACCAAAGTGCATGGAATGCCAGACAGCAGGCTCAGTAAACAGGAGTACACAATGAGAGTTGAAGTGTCGGTTTTGCTTAACAACAGTGACAAATATGTTAACAGACATTTAAAATTAGGTGAAACTGTGGGAATTCAGAATCAAATTTCTTAACCTGAAAAACAGTATTCTTCTGACCTGCCAAAACTGAAAACTGGAGCATCATTGATTTTAGAGCTGCAGACAGACACTACTAAGTTACTGCATAATAATGGTACAACTGAGACAGGGAAAAAATCCCGCCCTGGGCCACGGAAAGCCTTGGAAGGGGCACGTGGCTGCAGTGTGACTGTTAACAGCCAGCAGCCACAGGACTGCTGCTGGCATGCAAAAGACCTAGGGGTCTGAAGGCCACGAAGTCATGATTTCATGATGATCCTTAAAAAAAAAAAAATTACCATTCTGAAAGTGCAAAACTAAAGGAAAAGACTCGAGAATATATAGCCTTTTACATACAATTTGATTTCTGTTATATCTCTGAGGTCACCAAATAATTAATGGGGTAAAATTGGAACGTAAAGAAGCATTTCAATTCATAAACAATGAATGGCACAATTCTGATATTGTTTCGCAACCTTTGGTAAAAGTAATGATCTAGCTCAGCACTGGCAAGTGACTGCCAGGGAGGCGTGAGCTGGTAAATGGGTGTAGAGGCACACAGTCACGCCCTTACATAGCATCTAAGACAGCTTTCCTTCCAGTGACAAAGACTACATGACCCTCAAAGCCCAAAACACTTAATATGGAGCCTTCAGAAAAGTCTGCCAACCCCTGATATAGGCAACAATTACCAATGGTTTCTAAAACCTCTAGGGAAAAAGCTGATGGGGAAGCAGGTAACATATAGATCAAGGACACTGTGTTGACTGATGAGGCTTCCCGTGACAGCGGGACAAGGTGTCATGTGTCTCCTGATTCTGGGCAGCAGTAAGTACGCATCATCTCCCCTACCTAGCTAAGGATGGTGGCGTGTACCTCTAATCCCCGCATTCTGGAAGATCCAAGTTCAAGTCCAGCCTGGGCAACTAAATGCTTTAATGAGACTGCCACTGCATTTAAAAATAAGTTAATTTTTAAAAAATAAACCTTGAAAGGGATGAAGATATAGCTCAGTACAAAGATTCCGGACTCAACCCCCAGCATTACCAAAGCAATAACACAACACTGAAAATCTGATCAAACCTCACTTCTCACTTGCAGCTTACTGAGATACAGGGGACAGAAAATCAAATAAACTCCACCATGGGACACAGCTGGTTAAAATTCAGACTGTGGGAAGTTTCACAGAACAAAGATTTGGTTTTCTCAATAAAGAAACTGCATACAAAAGAAGCGTAGAACCTATTGACCAAGAGAAGCTTAAGATACTTATCAACTAAATGCATATATAGTCCCAGAATGCAAATGTTGGGATTTTGAGTCTAACAACCAACTAGGAAAAACATTTACAAGACAATGCAGGATATATGAATACCAATCATAAACTTGAGAGTAAGAAATTACTGTGTTGTTCTCTGCTACGATAACAGTGTGGTTTAATTTTTAAGGCACTCCATTGTTTTAAGGATGCATACTAAGGTATTTACAGATGAAATAATATGACATCTGGTCTTTGTTTCAAGATAATTCAGTGGGGAGGGGGCAGATAAATGAAGCAGGATTGGCCATATGTTGATAACCACTGAGGCTGAGTGATTAGGATAAAGGGATTCATTACACCATTTTCTCTACTGTTGAATATATTTAAAATTATTCCATAATAAAAAGATAAAAATAAAAATCACCAGCAAAGCTTTCCACCTACTTTCCAAAATTTGTGTTCGTGGACGCTTCATTTCTCCTCTACTCATCCTCCACGCATGTTCATTAACCAAATATTTATTGAACACTTTCTATAACACGGACCCAGGACTAGGTACTGGCAATAGCCTTGACCTTCGAGAAAAGTACAATCTAAAAGCGGAGCCATTAAGGAACTGCTAGTACAGCACTCGGTGGTTTGCTGCAAGGGAGAGAGCCCCGGGCACCTGGGGGATGCAGACAGGAGCTGCCACGCCTCATTCCCACTGTTCAACATTGTCTTGTTGTTCAGCTCACCTCTTCCGACTAGCTGTTTTCTCTCCTAAGGAAGAGATTCCCTTTCTTTAAGTGGCTCTGTTTACTCCATCTCCTAACTGCCCACGCCACGATTCCACGAAGGTGAAACACGGGATTCTGCCTGTTCCATTCTCCCAGTGCCATGGCTTCGATGGGGACGGCTCTGACAGCCCCCAGGCTCCCACACTCACCCAGGGCTCTGCGGCTGTTTTCCTGCTCCCTAGAAAAGGAACACGCATGCACACGTCCACACTGCATGGCCAGCGCAGTCCTCGGCCCCATGTCTCCACCCTCACTCACAGCTCACCGGAGTGGCTGCATAGAATGAACAGCCACGCACAGTCCTCACACCCAGGAATCCACCCGTGTGGCCAGGAGGAAAGGGATGAGAGCTGGCAAAGGAAAACTGTCAGGGTGCAATTCAGGCACAGCAGTGATAGAGGTAAAAGCCACAATAAGAAGACAAGAAACAGCAGCTCACCAGTCGGAGTGGCATAAACCATTAGCCTCTGACATAAGTAAGTGGGGCACTTCAGTCTTTGAGACGTAAAAACTGTGGTAGTGGACCCTTTCAGGCAAACATTTTTTCAGGGTTTGTTTCATCTGTGGTGTTTCTTTTGTGGCTGCTGCTATTACTTTATTTTTGCCTAACTTACAATGTGAGGGTCACTCCGAAGAGAGTGGTGGATTCAGGCAAGAATATTTGACACAGGAAGTCCTGCTAAGCCACTGCCTCGGCTGCTTGCTAAGTTACCATCATCTCCCTGGAGGGCAACTCCGGCTCTTGACAGTTTAGGATGCACGGGCAGCACCGTGGCCCTTAACACTGGATAAATGCACTGTGTGATGACCAAGTCTGAGGACAAACCCCAAAATTGGGCCACAGTAGTTGTGGCTAAACCAATCCCAGCTCTCTCTAATGAACAGGCCATGGGATCTTAAGTAAATCACTTGTGTAAATCATCTAATCTTTTTGGGTCATGGCTTTCCATTTGAGAAATTAACTCTGAGCTTGACGTCTAAAGGCCTTTCTGCTCCAGTATCACAGGGCTGTGACCAGAAGCAGCCTTTCAACGTATGAGGTGTGAGCAGCAGCTCAAGTGACACCTGAGAGCATTTCTACCTGGAAAGCAAAACACTGGTGTCTCTCTCACTTCTCCAGGGTGAATTTTCTTCTTAGGATCTAGTACATAGTAAGAACTTTATCAGTGTTAACTGTTATTAATGTAAATTACTTCTAAGTAAAGCACACTGTTATATAACAATAAAACATGCTGAATAGAAAATGGTGCTTTGAAGTCAAAGAAAAGATCTGTTTGAATCTCCGCTCCACCAATCACGAACTATATGACCTTGAACATGTTCTTTAAAACACCTGAATATCTGTCTCTTGGTTGTGATGGGAGATAGTACTGATCTCACAGGTTTGTTGGAAAGATTAAGCAAAAACAACATATATCATGTATGATTAAATAAATACAGTTCCTTCTCTCCCAGCCAGTCTTGGATTAAATTCTTACAAGTTGTATCTGATTTCTATCCCTTTCTGGTTTCACCCTGCATTTCCATTCATGAACCAACCTTCATGGCCTCGTATGATTAACAAGGATTCTCTCCTTGACCAAACTTTAAGGAGGCTTCTCTGAGGCCTCTTCTCAGAGTGTCTCAACCTTTCCCTTTAAGAATCACAACTGCCAGCACAAACCATTTCTTTCACCACCCACACAGAGACACTTGAACAATCACTAGCACGGCTTCTACCAACTCGAGGCTGCGTCCCAAGATGACCCTCACTGCTCTTAGAACGTCTGCCTGAGAAAGCTCAAGCTGCTCCAACAGGACCGTCGGTTCCAAGCAGCAGTAGCTGGTAGGCTCCTGACCTCCCTTTTCTAGAGCGTTTATTGATTTGGTAATTAAAAATCTCATCCTTGACCTTTTCTGATATAAATCTTCTACCTTACAGAAATGTCTCAAGGACCCCACCTTCTAGAAATGCAAACGCCTAAGGAGATACTTCTATCACCCACTTCTCCCGAATACTGGCCTCATTGCAGAGGGCCATTTGTAAAACTACCTCTTCTTCTAAAGATGCATTTATTTCTCCTTCAAATACACACCAGTTAACAAATAAACTGCCTAACTATTCACACTCACCACCCCTCTTAGCAGCCATTAGCACCTCTCCTTTAGCACACCTAGCAGTTTGCACACTCAGCACTTTAAAGGTCCCCTGTCTTCTGTTTAGGTGGAGCTGAGCTCGGCTTATGCTGATCTCTGTGCCCTACTGTAGAAGTAATGAATAAAACCTGTTTTGCCATCTCCACAAGTGTCTGGTGCAAAAGTTTTATTTAGCATTATACACTTTGCAAACACTTATTAATTGCTTCCTGTTATGGCTTGGATCAAAACCAAAAGACCTCAAGTGCGCAGGGCCAGGACTTTTGGAAGGTGACTGAATCATGGGGGTGATACAGCTGGCTTGTCAGGAGGTGGTGTCTAGCTGAAAGAGGCAGGCCACTGGAGACATAACCTAGAAAGGAGTATCTTCCTCCTTGGCTCTTCCCTTCTCTCTCTACTTTCTGATCACCATGATATGAACAGCCTTCCTCTGCCAGACCCTTCTACATTACCTTCCTACCTTGAAACCAACCAACTAGCGATTGCAATCATGGCCAAAATAAACCCTTCTTCATCTAAGTTACAGGTACAATGTGATAGTGACTAAAAAGTGACTAACACAGATTTTGGCATCTAAGTGGGGTCATTTCTGTAACTACCTGACCATGTGGTTTTGAAGCCTTTAGGACTGACTTGTAGGAGGAGTTTAGAAAGATCTGGTGATGTCAGCTATAACCCAAAATTGATGGGAGATTCTGGTCAGAGCTCAGAAGACCAAGATACTGATAAAAGTGTCATTGGTAAAGACCAGGCTCAGGAGATCTCAGTTGGGAACAAGAATTCCATTAGCAGTTGACCTACAAGCTATATGTAGTTTGTTTTGTTTTTTGAGGCAGGGTCTCAATATATAGTGCAAGCCAGTCTTGAACTCATGATGATGCTCCTGCCTTAGGCTCCCAGATGCTGTGATTACAAGTATACACAACCACACTCAATGTAGTATAAAAATTTTGAGGCAGCCCAATGTTTAGGTTGTGGAATGAGAACTACCAACATATTTTAGCCACGTTTGTACTAAATCAGGCATAAAAAGCCCATTTGAAAAGTTTTCAGTTTCCTCAGAAAAGTACAGCCTACAAAAGTGGAGCACAGGAGAACCTGGCTGCCAAAAGATTAATATTTAATCTTATAGCCAGGTACTTTTCATCAGGACAACAGATAAGAATGCCTTGAGAACATTCTGAGAATCAGCAAAACCTTCCCAGGCAAAGAGGTTCTCAATAAGAAAAGAGCCCTAGGCACGCTGCCCCAGAAAGGGCACCTAGAGAATTTGTCCCCTAGAAGCCTTTACATAGCACTCAGAGGCTGCAACAGCCATGGTCCAAGAAGGTCTGGACACTGCTAGAGCTGATGGCTGACTCTGGTGTCATCTATACGGTACGAGTTTTATAGGCATGCAGAATGCAAGAGTTTTGGGATCAGAAGGGCTTCCACCAAGGTCTCAGAGGAAGGCCTGGGAACTAGGTAGTGTGCCACAGAAGAGCAGTACATGAAACTGTGGAAGTGAAGCCAAAAGTACAGTGAAAACTCCAGAAAGTTGGAGAAACCAGGATCATAAAACATCTGAGGAAAGCCACAGACTGTCAACAAAGCCACCTCAAAAGAGAGGCCACAAGAGCTGCAATCTGCAATGCTGGAGGGCAGAATTACAGAACCCATTTGGGATGTATGTCTCACCACATCTTGCCCAGGGTGCTTGTTTCAGTCTTGCTTTGGTATCATTTTTTTGTATCCTCCTATTCTTTCCTTTTGGATTAGGAATGTTTACCATATGCCATTGAATGTTGGCAGTATTTAACTTCCTTTCTGATTTTTATAGGGGTTCACCATAAACCAAAATAAACGTCACCAACCATAAATTACAGATGTCGAGTATTTCATCCCAGTAATGAGAAAAGTGACTAAGACACTTTCCATGTGCCAGGTACCCTCACCTACCAGTGATTAAGACATCACCTTCCTGGCAGAGGCAGCAATGTGGTAAAGAACACAAAATACAGCACTAACAATGCAGCCAGACAAGTGCCAGTAGTTCAGAGTTCTACTGGCAGTAGCACAACTGCTTTATTGTGCAAAGCCCTATTTCTAGATCTCTACCCAAAACAATCACAGACTATAAAGCAGGACCAACCTCCATGTGCCTAGTAACACCACCTTACATTGTGCATCATGCTGTAATTTTATCAAGGATTTTGATATACATCATGTTAACAGAGTTACTTTCATATTGGGATGAATAAAAGTATACAACACTTTACAATTTAGAAATACTTTCACTAAAGTACTGCTTCTTAAAGTATGTGAAGTAGCCATTAGTATTCTCTACATGTTACTAAATAATTAAAACCCTACTAGCACTCTTTTTCTATCAACTAATCTACCAAATAATTATCTGGGTGAGGTGGCACATGCCTGTAATTACAACACTCAGGAGGCTGAGGCAGGAGGATAGCAGTGAGTTCAAGGCTAGCATGGGCAACATAAAGAGTTCAAAGCCAGCCTTGACTACATAGCAAGACTCTATCCTCCCCACCAAAAAGAATTTTCTTCCGTATATTCCTAGAAAGCATCTGATTTTCTCTTTTACATTCTTCAGTGCAAAATATGTAACTATGTATATAATATAATTTCACAAATTAAATACCTTGAGCAAAAAATGTATTTTAACATGTTATGAGCTTAATTTATGGGCTTATATCAATTCAAAATCAACATTATAGCTCACTATAATGTTGTTTACTATACTGTTACATAGAAAATAAAGCACCTGACGTATTTAGGTTAATAATTTAGAATTAGTAATTAAAGGTTTTGTATTTACCCAGCAAAATATCAGTAAAACGTTGGCATACCAGAATAGGTGGAGGTACTGTCTCTGGATATTTCATGTGGGCTTTTTAATTTCTATATTATAATTAGAAGTTGTCATAGTTTATGTCGGTGGTCTCCCAGGCCTCATGTGTTTACATTATGCATCTGTGACTGGTTCATTGTATAGTGCTTGGATTGATGGTGTCAGTGCTCCACCCACATAGGGGTGGAGCCAGGAAGTGATGTAATGGCAGGAAGAAGGTGTGTCTTACTCTCTTGCGGGTTTCCACTTGCAGTTTGCAGCTGCCATGAACTGTGACCCTGCCATGCCACCCTGCCTTGGAGCCAACTGAGTATCAACTGAAACCTCCAAAAACTGTACGAAATAAACCGTTCCTTTCCCAACTTGATGCATCAGGTATTTTGTCTCAGCAACAAGTAAAAAGTAACTAAGACAGAAGTATTAAATGCTAAAGGCACACAAAAATTAAGCAATCTGTGCTATTTTGCTAAAAAATAGGAATAACTTGATCGCAGTCATAAAGTTAAATATTTAGTTTTCCTAAAAAGCTCAAATTAAAAGTGGTCACAATTCTGCATAA